CCTGTTTCTGAGAATCATCCGATAGTGTTGAGTTTGTTTTATCACAGTATGTTTTCGTTTATCAATCAATTGTATTTTTTTTCAAAAATTATGTTCATTCTTCAGTCTCTCGTAGTATGAATACTTGTTTTCGGTTGTTCTCGCTAAACCCATTAGCTCCGCATTAATTATTCTTGTTTGTGTAAAAAAAAACATTTAAACTTGTCTTCGTAGATTTTGATATTAGCAGGCCAGTGACATTCAAGAATGGCTCGTTGTAATTTATCTTGATGGTCTTTAAAGTTATATATCTTGTCTATTCCTATAGTTGAACAGTTTTTTTGTTGCTTGAAACTTCTCGGTCTTAAACCCTTTGCTAGAAAGTATTCCGATTAAATTTGGGTTAACGACTATTTATAGTACGAAGCTTTTTATGCAGCGGAATGAACAAAATGCTCGGTCTTTGAAAATTTTTGACGTGATTTGTTGAAAAAAAATTAGCGGAGCGAGTAAACGATATCGAGTCGTCTGCGGTTAATTCAATCACAACCCTAGAAAAAGACCTGATGCTTATGATGGGCGTTTTTTAACTACGTAACAAACGCAAAGTAGGTTTGACCAACCAGCGTGCCGTTTAAAAGCAGTTTTGATGGCTGCAATTGGCCCAAAAAACAACCAAAAAACTTAGATTTTAGCCTTATCCAACAAGAGAAAAAAGATGCACAATAAAACCACGAGCAAAGTTTGAATAAATTTAAGATCAATGTACTCTCACGCTGGCAAGAATATGAGCGAATCAACTTATCACCAAAAACCTCTATATTTAGAGCTTCAATGAGTTATGTTTGCGTTGATAATTCGGAACTTCTACCTTATGTCTTCCTTTTGAGTTATTGATTAGTTTGTGCCACATGAATTTGCCTGATTGACCCTCTAAGCTTTTATTGAACAAGTTTTTTGGGATTGTTCAAATTAACTTTAAAATTAGGAGCGCGTATCAACATATAGTCTCTAGATAAAGATCGGCGGATAGACGCGTTTTTTTCTAAGGTTGCAAGGAACTACCATCGAAAAATACCATGGCTTAAAGATTTGCGCTGGAAAAATTTACTTCACAACAAAACTGCTCTCGAAACTGTAGACTGCACTCAGGCACTGGCGAACTGACGAAGCATCTGCTCTGGAAAGGGTAGACTCCACTGGACAACTGTCAACACGTCCATCTATTTCCTCTGGGGGCGCTAAATTGGCTGATGAAATGGAAACACGTCGACAAACTGCCCTGGAGACTGTAGTCAGCCCTGAAAAACTGGCAGCACGCCGGCCCAAATTCATTGGAAACGGTAGACAAGACCGAGCAACATATCAAAACAACTGTTCTGGAGAATACAGAGTGAGATGGACAAATGGCAACATGCCAATTTTCTTCTCTTGAGACTGTGACGATGATTTAGACAACAAAAAAAAACAATTAGTTTATAAATTTGTTTTTTTTCTAAATATGGCTGCAGACTGCACTGGAGAACTGGCATTACGCTCGATCCAAATGCTCTGGAGATTGTTGGCATCAATGCAGAAATGGCAGAGCGTGAGCCAAACTACTCTAGGGTTGCTTTGAAGAACTGCAAACACGCCGACCAATATTTTTCTGGGGAACTTTCAACACACCTCCCGTCTCCCATCAATATTTTTCTTTCTCTGAACATTGTGTCAGAACAGAAACTATCGTCAAAATTTAGGAACAAAATGTATTTCACTAAAATCCAATCAAAATAGCCTGCGCTAGTAAAATTAGCAGTCATCGTCTCTCCGCATTGGGCTTCCTTGGGCAAAAAAAAATTTATTTGAGTTTCATTGTCTCTGTCTATGGAAGTGAAAAACCATCGGTTGCAAAAAATTAAAAATGGATTATATTGCCATTAATTAATGAAGTAAAATATTCCGTTATAATTGACTTAACCTGAGAAGAACGAAAATTCTTTGTGTCCCAACATGATATTAGTTCACCAGCTAAGCATTGGTTGTGGCTTGAATCTGAACCTTGTCCTTATGATCACTGTGCATTAACTTATACGTTAGGCTGTAAACAATTGTTCATGAAAGAAATGATAGACAATGCAGGCCAAGTAAACGAATATTTAGTATAATTTTCGAAGTGTTAACATGTATTTTTTATTCGCTACATTTGGTTGACTAAATCTTTTGACCTTTCTGTTTTTTTTTGTATCAAAACTATATCAAAATGATAATTAAGCGTCCAGATTAGACAGTCAGACAATCACATACATAAATGGAGAGCTTGAGGCGACTGTTTTTTGATAGTCCCTTTGGTTTTGTTTGGATGCGAAGCCTGTAGTTGACAAATTTTGTCTGAACATCTAATCTGGAAAGCGTGTTTAGGGAAGCTTAACTGTAAATTACTTAGCTATCCAGCCAGTGGCATATCCTGGAAGTTAATCATTTAAGGTTCACTAAGCTATGTATATCTTACAAGTCGCAGTGCACGTGAGATTTGAACCCTCGAGCATATGCTTGCTGGGCACCATCACTGCGGTTCGCAACAACCATGTTACCTTGCTTTGGTTCTTTTCCAACCCGCTTTTCCAACCCGCTCCTGAAACTACAAAAAAAAACTGTTCAATAATTATTCATACGGCTTTTTCATGTTAAAAATGTTGTGAAACTTTGTTCACCTTTTAACGCTGACACGTTTTAGTGCAGTGTATGACATGAAAGGTCATTTTAAATTGTCTTTTGTGTTTGGTATTTGAAAAAATATGAAAGGGGAAACTGGAAAAGAGCCTTCGCTTCCGCCGAAATTTTTTTTGTGAAAAACTAAATCGACTGTCAAAGTCATAACGTACCCATACTCAGCAGAAGCTAAAATTTCAGTCATCGACGGTTTGTTCGCAGAATGTGTCGGTCCATATGATTACAACGAAAAAGAAAGTAAAAGATGTGAATAGTAGTAAACTCACAGGATATAATCAAAAAACCGCTTTTGCCTTCTCAGAAAGACTATTTCAATCAAGAACAGTTAAAATTAGTTTGTTTCTTGCAATGCTGATTGAAAGTTACGTACACTAAAACTAAATTGACGAGAGTCACCGTCGGTGATAAAACGATTGTATGGACACTAAGAAAAATCCGAAAAGCAAAATTATTGCAGTTTCATGTTCATCAAATGTACAAGCTTACAATTGGCGATTAGGGGGTGAATTGGGGGGAGGGGGATGGTTGATCTTGTTTTTCAAGCAATTCATTCAATTTTGATATCTGTAACGATTCAGTCAGTTTTGGTATCTCTAACGACACGTATCAATTTTTTTCCGTCATTTGAAGATTTGAAGAAAAAAAAGAAGATCAAAAAAATTGATTTAAATCGATTTAAAATCGGTCAGATTTCAGATAAACCTGTTTTCAACGCGAAAAAAAAAGGTTAAAAGTGAGCGGAAGGTGAATGCTAATTTACACAATTTCACATTTATGGTTGATGCCAGTTTCCAATATTCGCATAAGTCGGCTACTGGTAACCATTTACCTGTGAAATTCCTGTCTCAGGACTAGCAAGCACGCACGTTCTATCTGCCAATAATGACTTGAGCTAACCAATTCCAATTTTTTCCAGTTCTGATTGTTTCAATTTAGCTTTCCATAAACGTTCTGGGAAAATGTGAAAAAAAAACATCAATAAAAGCGCTAGTCATTAAATAGAAAAATCCTTTAGCCTTTTATTCTTCTGATTTGATTTTTTTGTTTTTACAAAGCAGAATTTCATATCGGCAAACAAAATTTTTTTCTCAAATTGATCTTTTTAATTGTCTCCTCAAGGAATTTTTAGTTTTGTTACTGAATGTTGTAAAATGTTTGCTACATAAAAACCGTCTTTTTATTTTAATATCTAGCAAGAAATCCCGGTAGTTCCAACCGATCAAAGTAACTTTAAATTCTTTTATAATTTTACTGCGATCGTGTTGAGAATCGGCTTCAAAGTTCCATCCTTTATCATTTGCCAATTAGATCAAAAAGTCAAACAATCTAGTTTTTGAAGACTTAAAATTCTTACTTTGAAATTGTAGTTTGTCAGTTTTGTGAAAAAAAAAACTGAAATCTATTGCCGCAAACAAATCTTTGGATATCTAGAAGTTGCCAAAAATTTAAGTTTACTGTGAGTAACTGGTACCCTTTTCCACAGTTGTTACCTGTTCAGATTAAGAAAATTAATGATGGCAAAAGTTAAATTTTTTTAAAAATTCATTGACACATGACAATGGCAATACTTTTTGGGTGATTAAGATTCCAATTTCAAATCGTAGTTTAGTTGTTTCTTTTTAAATGATTTCTTTTTGATTTTTGAGTTTTGAGTCTTTCAGTTTACTAATTTGGCGGCATAATCATGTCAAAAATGTGGTAAAATTAGGTTCGGCAAAGATTAAAGTTCAAATGTCGTAGACATAGCCGGGCCCATTTGCAGGTTGCAAATTAGAAAATTGTTCGTTGAAGCTGATGGTACGTCGTCGTTGATTGTAATGGTCATCTAGTTGTTAGCTGTCGTTGATCATGTTGGTCATCTAGTTGTTACTGTGGTCCAATACTCGCGAGAGTTTGACTGCTGGTCGGTGTAGAATCCCCCTGCTAGTTTTAATTTCGCAGGAGCGAACGATTCCGTCTGCACCTGGGAAAGTACGAAGTACCCGTCCCAGGGGCCAAAGACCTCGAGGCGTTAGGTCTTCCAGTATCCATACAAGGTCTCCTTGCTGAAGATTTTCCACTTGCTTTGTCCATTTCGTTCGGGTCGTCAAGGTTGGCAAGTAGTCTTTGAGGTATCTGTTCCAGAACTGTTGACTCAAGGCTTGCGCTTGTTTCCAAGTTTTCTTGTCCGTTGTGTGGCGAGGGAGAAACAATCCGGGAGGCAAATTGTTTGTTGGTCGTCCTAGTAGAAGGTGATTGGGTGTAAGGGGCTCGTCATCGGTTGGGTCTGATGAGACGTGGGTTAGCGGGCGAGAATTCATCATAGCTTCAACCTCGCACGTGAAGGTTGACAGAGTTTCGTCGTCCAGTGCCCGTGTTCCAATGACTTTGTAGAAGGCAATCTTAAATGTTTTTATGGGGCGTTCCCATGATCCACCAAAGTGAGGAGCTGCAGGTGGGTTGAACTTCCAGGTTATTCCAAGTAATTGGCATTGATTGTTGAAGTCGTTGCTGTGTTGAATCTCAGAAAGGCTTTCCTGTAATTCCTTGTCAGCTGCAACGAAGGCTTTTCCGTTGTCAGAGAAGATGATCCTGGGTTTACCGCGTCTAGCGATGAAACGGCGTATGGCTTGTAGAGTTGAGTTTGTGTCATCTTGCTGGCATATTTCTGAATGAACTGCTCGCGTGACGAGGCAGGTGAAGAAGAGAACGTATCGCTTACTGTACTCGTCGTTGTTCCGCGTGGCAAAGGGTCCAAAGAAGTCAATTCCTATTGAGTAGAAGGGGTAACTGTTTTCCGATAAAGGGAGTCGTTGTAGGGGTAGATCTGCCATCAGAGGCTTCACTGGTTCCAGTCGAAGGCGTCGGCAAGGTATGCATTGTCGAATAGTTTTCTTCAGATGCTTGCGTGATCTTATGATCCAAAAGTCCTGCTGAAGAATGCTTCGGGTGTGTTCCATTCCACAGTGGGAATTTAATTCGTGTGTTTGCTTCATGAAGAGTTGTATTGGGTAGTTTTCTGCGTTCAGAATGACTGGATGTCGGCTGCAAAGTAGAAGCGGGGCTTTCTGTAGTCGTCCTTTGGCACGTAAGTATCCGTGATCGTCGATGAAGGGGCAAAGAGGTTGTAGAGGGCTGCGGGGTGGAATGTCAGATTTCTTTGTCAAGCATGCTATTTCCTTGGGGAATGATTGATTCTGTGAGTGTTTAATGATCCACGCGAATCCTAAGGTGAGGTGTTGAAGTGAGAGGCTCTGGCGTGTCTTCCTTTTGATGTTTTCTGCGAAGAGAAGAACATATGAAGTAACTCTGAGTGCTCTTGTCCAAGTGCTAAATCGGTTGAAGTCGATTACTGATGTTGGCTGTTGTGGGTCGTTGTCTGTCAGATGAATATCGGCTGTAGATTGTGTTGTCGGGTGATTAGGCCAATCTGATGATGGTCTTAACAAGAAGTCTGGTCCTTTGATCCATCGTGAATCGGTAGTCATGTCACATGCTTTGTAACCACGTGTTCCGTCGTCTGCAGGATTGTCTTTGCTGGGCACGTATCTCCAGTCCAGTGGAGATGTTGAGTCCATGATGAAATTCAGGCGGTTGGCAATGAAGATCCGGTGTCGTTGATTCGGCGAGTTTATCCAATGAAGAACTGTTGTACTATCTGTCCATAGTGTCGTACTGTCGATTCGTATGTCATGTTGTTCTTTGATGAAACGAGACATTTTCGCTCCGTTAGTGGCGGCTTGAAGCTCGAGATTTGGAATTGTCATTCTGTTGATGGGTGCTACTCGGGCTTTTCCAATGACGAACTTGAGTTCCGTTGTGTCGTCGTCGTATCTGATTCTGAGGTAAGCAACTGATGCTAAGGCAAGTTCGGAGGCGTCGCTGAATACATGGAGTTGGGTTTCCAGTATCTTCGTTTCTGCTTTGAAGTAAATCCGGGGCAGGCAGATGTCGTTGAATTGGCCTCGCTTGTCTATCCAATCGTTGAGGTCTGTTAAATGATCCATGTTTAGAGGTTTGTCCCATTGAGGTCCATTACTCCAGGCAAGTTGAAGTGATTGTCGTAGTCAAATTGTAAGTGGCATCGTAATTCCAAGCGGGTCAAAGATTGAAGAAGCAAACTTCAATAGTTTGCGCTGCGTTAAATCCTTCTTGTCAATGGCGTGAAACTTCTTTGCTTCCACAAGAAAGACATCCGTGTTTGGTTTCCATTTCACTCCAAGAACTCTTTCGAGGGGTCGTTCCTTCTTGGTGAGGCTGTCGCTGTTTTCCAAATGGTTCTCGTTATTTGTTGTGAGGAATTGTTGAGAGTTTGAGGTCCATTTTGTGAGGTTGAAACCTCCAAGGCTGAACATCTTTTGAAGGTCGTTCATTAACTGTGTCGCTTCCGTCGGCGTTGAAACGGCTTTGTATAGGTCGTCCATGTATATGTTGCGTTTTGTGATTTGCTCCAAGGCTGGATATTTGTCGGCATTGTCCTTCGCACATTGTCGAGTGGCGTAGCAGGCAACACATGGTGAGTCGGTAGCTCCGAAGATGTGGCGGGTGTATTGGAAGGTTGCGGGTTGGCCCGTGTTGTCCTTCCACAGAAATCGCAAATACGGCTGGTCCTCTGGGCTCACGAAGACCTGCATGAACATTGCTTCAATGTCGGCAGAAATAGCGATTTGGTCCTCGCGAAATCGCATAACGATTCCAGTAAGGTTTGTGAGGAGGTCTGGTCCAGTTAGTAGGTTGCTATTGAGTGATACTCCTTTGTAGATGCTCGGTGCATTAAGGACTCGGCGTACCTTGCCAGGTTTATTGATGTTTGTCACTGGATGATGAGGAAGGTACCATTTTCCTGTTGAGTCTTCATGAAAATCATCAACTTTGACTATGAAACCTTTCTGCAAGTCGGTGTCGATGGTCTCCTGATATTTCTGTGCCATCTCGGTGTTTCTCTTCAGTCGTTGGAGAAGGCTGTCGAGCTGCTTCTTGGCAAGCCATCTATTGTTTGGCAGTTGTTGTCCACGTTTCCAAAGCATTCCAACTTCGTAGTGTCCATTGGGCAAGCGGGTTGTTGAAGATTCCAAGATGCGGAGAGCTTCCTTGTCGTCTGTTGAGAGGCTGCGTTGGTCAGTTGAAATCCCTTCGGCGTCCAATTTCATCCATTCAGCTACGTGGCGAAACAGTGTATCGTCTGTCGTGAAGTTGATTGTGTTGATGTCGTTGGGTGTCGCTGCATTGTCTCGTCCACAGAGAGACCATCCAAGTGGCATTTTCCATCCAATAGGCACATTTTGTTTTGAATGGATTACTTTTGAAGGTGTCACGAGTTCGGCGAAATCGCATCCAATGATGATTCCGATTTCTTTCGAGGGCAGTGTGGCTATCCGAATGTGTTGAAGTGGCTCGTTCCTTTGGCAGATGGAGTTGACGAGTTCAGGGTTGAATTGGGAAAGGTTCCAATCCATTATGACGTCGATGTCATTTAATTGAAATGGCTGCTTTTGCTGGTTGTAGGGTCCAATCGCGATCGTCATCTTTGTAGAAGCTGTGTCTGATGATGTCAGTGCTTGGTTTAGCTGTATGGTGTCGTCTATTTGCAGATCTGGTTTGAGTTGGAGGGCGATTGATGATTTAAGCAATGTCAGTTTGCTTCCACAATCAAGCATTGCATAGGCATGAACTTTATGTTTGCCATGAGAGATCGTTATTGGTAAGGTCGGAATGTGGCGAGTCGATTTCCTTCTGCTTATGCTGATGCTGCAGTTGGTGGAGTCGTCATGTTGTCTGGAGTTCCGGTTGGCTGTCTCCCTCTGTGTCGTCGAGTTGTAGGTGCTGCTGTTGTGCAGAAGCGTGTGGTGTTTCTTACTGCATCCGTCCGTCCGGCAGGTTTGCGTTGATTGACAGTCGGCGAACTTGTGGGGGCTGAGGCAGTTGAAACATAGTTGTAGTTCCCTGGCCTGCTGTAATCTGTCCTTTGGGTTCACTGCGATGAAGTTTTGGCATTTTCCAAGGTACTGGCAATTGCGTTTCTCCGGGCAAAAATCTCGTCGTTGATCCTTTTGTCCAGATTTATGTTGCTGCTGGCTGCGTTGCTGGTTCCGGTTGTTCTGATTGGCGCGGTGATCCGATGGTCCATGTTGGTGGGTGTGACCGTTGGATGATGATCCTTGAGTGTTGATGCTGTTGTAGTTGTTGTTGCTGCTGCTGTTTCTGGTGTTGTTATTGTTGCTGTGGCTCGGCAAATCGCTGCATGCTTCGGCGTAGATGTTGGACCAATTGGCGAGGTCGATGAGTGATGGTTGTCTGATGTTGCATTGCAGATTGTATCTATTCCATTCTAGTCGGCAAGGGGTAGGCAGTTTTGACAAAACTGTTTGGACATTTGTCGTAGAGTGTAGATCGTGCTGGAATCCAAGTGTCGTGAATGTATCGACCATTGGGCGCCAATGACAATGGCAATACTTTTTGGGTGATTAAGATTCCAATTTCAAATCGTAGTTTAGTTGTTTCTTTTTAAATGATTTCTTTTTGATTTTTGAGTTTTGAGTCTTTCAGTTTACTAATTTGGCGGCATAATCATGTCAAAAATGTGGTAAAATTAGGTTCGGCAAAGATTAAAGTTCAAATGTCGTAGACAACACAAAAGCAAAGCTGAGCTTCCAACCACTTGCGAGAAAACAACTATTGGAATAATTAGCCTGATCACTAACAAGCAAACCCGCAACGTTGTTCTATGGATCCTAATCGATCACACTGAAAATTATTGTCTCAAATGCTATCAATATAATCCATTGTTGGAGCAATTTTAGACCACAAAGTCGAATATATTGTTTTAAAATCGATTATTTCAGAAAAAACTTAACCCATCAAAAACCAGTAGAATGGATTATAGTTCATTTGCGAACCACTGTAACCGATCATATTGGATTATCTTTTCTTAAATATTTTTTTTTGCAAAAGCATTCGCAAAACTTGCAATTTTTCTACGTTACTCATGGAAGGGACATTTACACGTGTTAGTGGGTAAATTGTAGAGTTGATAATACGAAGAGTTAATAGATAATTAAGATTAGATCAATAAAAAATGATAAATCGAAAAATTAGGAGAAAAAATGTGAACCGAAAATTAAGAACAAGATAACTATTTTGAGCCAAAGGAAATCTAGTTTCAACTGGGGTATTGTTTTCCAAATGCTATTGTTGAGTTTTGAAAATACCGCACTGTGTTCAAACAGCGAATGCTTAAAATAGTTTATGGAAGCATATACAGTTCAATGAATATGCTTATAATGATTTAAAAAACTTTCAGTGATTTGACAAAAATTAAGATTAAAATCAATCAACAAAAATGAAAAAATTTTGATTATTTTAGAGGCAGACAATGAGAATACAGTGTTTCAAATTATTACCAATACTTGTTATCGCAATTCAATTGTTGTAAAGGTGTGTGTTAAAGTAATTTTTAAGGCTTCAATTTTTGATGACTGTCACAGAACTCGGACGCTGGATACCATTGATCCGATGTGTATAGGCATTTGTATTTTTATAGACATTTGATCTTAAAGAAGATATAAAGAGTCTTCATGGTATGATCTCTATCTAAATTTAACGTAGTTTTGACAGAGAAAATCTCATTCTGAAAGAGATGACAGATTATACCAATTTCTGCCGAAAAAAATCTGCAACGGTTGGTAATTCATTTGCAAACATTTTGACGTACCATACATTATTTTTTTTTCGGCAACACTTGGCCATTAGGATGTTCAGACAGAGGTTTGAAGACAAAGATAAGAGAAATTTAAGCTATGTTTGAGTGTTTTTTAACTAAGAAAAAATTTGATGAATTTTTTTTTGACACGTTTGCAGAAAAAAAAACCGAACAAAAATATAAATTAAAAACAAAACATTTGACCATTTAAATTTAGCGCTTGATTAAAAAGTAGTCGGCTCAATGAAACTCATTTAAGCAATCAATTTTATAGTTAAAAAAATTAGAACTCATTTTCGAGCTCGCAAGGAAACTCATCGCTATTGGCAACACGCGTGGCTGTCATCAGTTTTACGTTCAAGATAGTTGCTCGAATTTTTCATAAATTCACAGTAATCATGATTTGTTTCCATCTTGAACCAACTTGTGCAATAACTCTCGAAAGATGAGCTGCGAAAAAAAGGCTAAGAATGTTTTAGCTCCTTAGATTATGTCAAGGGTCCCAAAGTTTTTTAAATCGCAATTAGTGAGAATTTGAAGATTGTGTTAGTTCAATCAAATTTTTTGAGTCCGCATTTTTTGATTGCTTAATCTCGGCAAAAGCTTCTTGTATGTTTCAAACTGCATCATCAAAAGTGCCAGGCTATTTTTTTTCATCAAGGGAATAAGTTCCGCTCACTAGTTACATTAAGTTTGAGAAATGCATTGCACCAATTTAAAGCAAAGCATTGCACAAATCTTCCTCTTTTCCTCAAAGCAATTACTTTCATTATAAAAAAAGGAGGCCCCTTTTTTTCAGGAAACATTTGGCCAAAAACTTCCACTCAAACTTTCTCGTTGTTAAAAGTTTTTTTTGAAGGTGTTCATCTTGTTTTTTATTCGAATTCTAGAGATTCTATTTTCGATCAATAAAACAGTTTTCTAATAACTTCGATTCATTCTGGGCTTTTAGGAAATTTGCTAACTTTACAGTAATCCCCAGTGCTCCCGTTAACCTTGTTGAGATGTTTGATGACTAGATGATCTAGTAACTGGGTTTGTTTGTCAAAATCTGGCTCCGGATCTGCTATCAATTTTAACTCATTTTAACTTAACTTAGTTAAAGTAGAATGTACTACTTTTTTTCAGGTAATTACTTAATTTTCACATTGGCAAATTTAGATAAAAATCAATTATTTACAGAAAAAAAACATACAAACTTCAGATCTGTTGTTTTTAAATACCATAAATTGCCGATTATATTGTTTCAATAATTGATTCTAATGCATTTTGTTTTGCAAACTTTCATACTGTAAATCTTCTTTATTATATTATTACAAAATTAGTTTCGAACTAATTTCTCGATATAATCGCTTTTCAATTAAATTTTGTGCTGATGTTTGATCTGAAATTAACTATTAAAACCAGTACTGTGGAATCAATTTGCAGCAAAAATGCATTGTAGTTTTCCAAGTTTTTCATCTTAATGTTGATGTTTTTACAGAATTGCGCTGATAAAATTGATTCTATAATTAACATTCTCAACAAAAGCCAAAAAAATCGATTTTTTTTTGCAGGAAGTTGTAGTACTCTTGAAAAATTTGTTTTAGATACTTGCACAACTACATCAAAAAGACACTAATTTGTTTCAAAAACAACATTCTGCAAATTGAGAACCATCATTAAAAAAACTCAAAAAAGTTTGACCAACTTCCCTACCACTACACTACCACCTACACTATATCACCATCTCATCTTTACCCTCAAGGTTTTGACCCCCTCCACTTAACCCCCGCCAACCACTCGTAAAGGAGCGCGGCAGGGCAGTAGGTGGGGAGGAGTGGGCGAATGGTAATTTTTTTTACTATGGCGATGGTAAAAAAACAACAGCTATAAAAATAACCGACTTTTTACTGAATTCTAATCGATTACTTTTGTAATTTTGTGGACACTGACTACCAAATGACCGTAGAATCGATTATTTTCCATGAAACTCTAGTGCCGGCAAGAATGCGGTAAGTGTTTGGCAGCTCTACTGATATTGTTGAGTTGACTCCTTTTTATGCAACAAATACTTTATTTTTTTTGGCGGTGGGTAGAAATAGTACAGTTTAAAGATAGCGACGATGCACAGAGTTGAGTGTATTCAAGACTAACATAGTTCCAATGGGGGGAAAACTTCAGTCCCTGCTCGGAATCCTAAAGAGCAGATAGTTGGTTTTCCTTACAAAAAGAAGTTGCCAATCAAAAAACTTCAAAACATCCTATCACTCCCTCACTTATGAGAAGAACAAACTCGCAACTGAAATTACCGCACTAAGTTTCATGGATAATTGCCGTTGAAATGGATTTTTATGAACAAGAATTTCGGACAATATAGTCGATTGTAGATAACAGTTTCGAACTTTAATGGGTCATAATCGAGTTTTTTTCTTTCGAAATTAATCCATTATAATCCGTTTTCTTTTCTCAACAAAACTTCATCATATTCGATTGCTTTCTGCAGAAAAATAATTTACTCAGCTTCCTGCACTTTTACTCTAAAACTATGACAAATGAAAGACAAATTTTCAAGTAAATTTTAAACATGAAATAAAAAAAAAATCAGTTTACAAAATCAAGTTTTTTTCTGGCTGTTTTTTTGTTGTACTTCTATTCACCCCTCCCCCCAGTTCACATTTCACAGTTTACATCTTTCCCCCTCCACCTATTAAAATTCATCGGGGGAGCTACTCCACGTGAACCCAACCTCTTTATGAACCCCCTCATTTAATTTAACCACCCTAATGCTTAAACACGCGCACTACCCACGTTCACTAAACTGGGGACGAGGAGGGTGGTTTAAAGGGTTAGGGGGAACTGGGAAGCTGGGTAAAAACTGAGAAGAAAAAAAACGGACCCGCGATGACAAAAATGGATAAAAATCGACTTCATACAGAAAAATCTACAGATCAACGCAATTATATAATCGATTGATCTACAGTCCCTTTGAGAACAATATTCGATTCAGTACAATCAGAATCCAATTTTTTCGACTAAAATTAATTGGATTTTAGTGCCAAAGTAGTCAATTTTTCTATTGTGTGAAGCCTGTGTGTATTCTGTAGATAATCTGCAAATAGTCTAATCTTTATACAATAAAATCTATAGATTTTCTGGAGATAACCTGTAGTTAATATGTAGATAAACTATAGATAATCTGTATCAAATTTTGACCAAATAAAACTTAGTTTAAAGATTTTTTTGACAACTTCAACAAAAATTTGCAATCAGGAAAAAATTTCCTCAAATTTATAGTGAGCTGAAATCACTTGAGGACAATTGTTTACCGCAAACTATAAGTTTCAAGGGATCGCTTTAGGATTTTGCTATCTAAAGATTTCTGCTGTAAGAAAAGTATTACTGTGCAAAACTTCTTCAATTGCCAGTTAAAAGTTAAACATTTTCAGAAAAATTAACATAGAGCAATTGACTTTTTGCTGCATGTTATTTACACAGTAAGGAACTTATATACTGTTTTTCAGATCAAACATCAGAAGCAAAAAATTCAAAAAAAAGCCTACATAATAATTTTGTTTCATTACTCATTCTATCTGATCTATCAGAATGTTGAGGAAATCTGTATAAAATATGTATAGAACGTGAATATAGTCTATTTATAATGTGCATATAATCAATATATATTCTGTAGTTTTTCTGTAGATAAGCTATAGATAGTATGTATTTTATCTGTTTAAATTAAGCTTAAAT